GGCTGGGATTTCCAGCGCAGGCCAGAGATATTACTGGGCACTGTGCTGGTGCCTCAGCTCAGGACGTGGCACATGCGTGGGAGGTTGCACGGGGAAGCACTGATAGCGCTTCTCTACAATAGAAAACAGCAGTCTAACCAGACGGTCCTCATGTAGCCCGGGATGGAACAAAGCGTGGGCAAAAGCTTCGTTCAGCGAGACAGCACAGTAGAAAATCTCACCTCCATCTAACAAATTACAGCTTGCCATGGTCCTCTTCCGTACAGACCCTGACGGTTCTTGAAAGATAAAATAATGTGTCCTCCTGCCTGTACAGATTCAAGTGAGCCGCTTCTGCTGGACCTCTCTGCCAGCCAAGCGCTCTCTCCAGAATTAAGCCTTTTAATATGGGAAGTGAAAATGGTGAAAGTCCCCCCGTTCTGCTCTGTTTGTTCCTTATCTCTGAGAGGACAAGCACTACCTCCTGCCCAGGCCGAGGAATTTCTCAGCTAGACAGAATGATTTACACGGTGAATAACCACATAATGATAGGCATGAGACAAGCGCTAAATTTACTACAGTCCTGCATTGGCTGTTCTTGCATAAAACGAAGCCATTTAGTAACTGCCACTTCACGTCCTGCTTCTGGATTACTGCAAAACATCACTATTGTTCCTTAGTTCTTACGAAATCAACCATATAGCTTTGGCAGCAGTGCTCAGAAACGCTGCCATCTCCCGCTTCTTTGGAAATATCAGTTGTTTACCAGAAACAAGTCCCTGGGGGTCACACAATGTCTCTGCTGGAGATAGGTGTTCCAGGTTAAAAAAACATCTGTTTTGAATAGCCACAGTTTTAATTTGCTTGTACAGTAGGGGATTTAACAAACTGCAGGAAAACTGTATTTCTAATGGATCTGGGCTTCTCTGTCAGCGTGACTGATTTGTGCTGCTTAACTTGGTGGGGGGAAAAAAATCACAAATCTTGAATATGTATTTTACTGAGGCTGAAAGTCTGATAGATAGTAATACACCATTATGCAGATTGCATGCTCTGGAAGATCTCACGGTTCTCGTTTTGGTCAAAGAATAGCTCTAGGGCACTTTTCAGTATAATGTTGTTATCCAGTCTCATGTTCCGCGATTAATGGTTGGCATAGAAAGTAGGTTTTTACAGGCTCAAAATGGGATCCAGGGTATGTGTTCTCCCAGTTCTCCTCCTGGATATTAGAATACTCTATTAAAACAGTCTAAGTTAAACTTCCAATTGTTGTGGATCTCTGCTCACAAAGATAATTAGATAGGTCCATGTGATGCTGTGATGGGCAGTCGCAGAACTACCACGGGCATGCTTCTCTTGGTGTTTCTAAATGTGCAACAGAAGTGTTAGGTACAGAATAACTGGTCAAGTGGGTTGTGACAACCAAGTGTCTATTGCATTGCTGTGTGACTAAGGACAAATACCAGTTCTGTCACAGTACTAAAATAATCACTGATGTTAAGCTACATCATTAAACATTAGCTGGGTACCAGAAATGAAGAGAAAGATACCAGCTTCAAAAGTCATGAACATTTTGCCTTCCCGAAGTACTAGTTGCAATGTCGTTTTGTGTTTGAGTGGCACGACTAATTGTTATTTTAAAGGGAACAGCAATGGCAAGAGGGTCTGTGAGTCTTAGAACACATAACAGGCAAAGCAGAATCTATCCAAAGCTATGGACAGCTACGCAGGACATTGCCAGAATGGACGTGTCACCCACCAGCAGGGATGCAGCGCTCAGCAGCAAACGGAGGATGTCATCCCATGTCGTCCCTTGCCTCTCAGTGCTAGCCATGTCACTTCTTCACTTCTCATACAGGAGCTGTGGCTGCTTTTTTCTTTTCTTTTCTTTTCTTTTCTTTTCTTTTCTTTTCTTTTCTTTTCTTTTCTTTTCTTTTCTTTTCTTTTCTTTTCTTTTCTTTTCTTTTCTTTTCTTTTCTTTTCTAAGTTTGAAAGCTATCCGGAAGCTGGTCCCAGAAAAAGGTTCTGGAGCAGGTTTAGTGCAACAGACAGCTGCAGCAGGTGACTGAAGAGAACCCCCTGAAAGAGGGAATGAAACGAGAAAGGCCTCAGATGACATGCCAGCTGAACAGGAAAGGAGAGAGAGAAATTTAGATAATAGTGCAAAAACCATTTTTACTTAGATTGTCAGTGACTCTTGTATACCTTTCCCATCGAGTTTCTGGAGGCAGAATACCTATTGAGACACATCAATGCTATTTTGATTCGTTATAGCTTGAAAAGGCACAATGCCATAACCTGCACCCTGTCCTTGCAGGTCCCGTTGCAGCGTGTACCCTGGAGATCAACTCCACATCTTAATGGAAGCATTAATACTTTTTTGGAGAGTTTTATGATCAGGTCTCCTTCTTCCTACACACTTTGCAAATTCTTAACCCAAACACAACAGGCAGGGAAAGGCTTCTGGGAAACTGGATCCTGCCTTTTCACAAAAGCAGTATAGATGTGCCCCGAAGCCCTCCTACACGATACCAAACGCTGCGTGCATTCAACAGACCTGCTGGTTAATGATTTTGCCCATAAGTAATGTTTTAACCATAGAGTAGCTTTTGTTTGCTTCAAAAGCCACAAAGCCAAAGAGGAAGTGTAGGAGAACGTGGGCAGGACAGTGGCAAGAAGCCTCATGACCTCATCCTTTTCCGCCACACGGGGATTGGCAGCTGGTCGCTGGGACAGGGTTTAAATTCCCAGAGGTCGGAGATGTCAAGCAGTCCGGGGGACGAGGGGAGAAAGCCTGAGCTGCTCAGAAGCAACTGGCTGGAGCTGCTGCTGGGAACGCTAACAGAGCGCTTGTTGCAACCGACTCTTCAGCATCAGAGCAGGTAATTTTGCATTTTCTTACCTGACGTATGCTATTATGTCCACAGTTTTAGTCGAGGAAGCCTTGGGCAGGAGAGAGCTGCTGAAACTGCTTTGCTGAACTAGAATGTGTAATGTTTCTCTGTGGAAAAAGGTCCGCTTCTAGAGCGGCGAGGTTGCTTTAGGGATGCAAGGTACTCTACGGAATCACAATTTTAAATGTGTCTGCTGATAGATGTCAGGAGGAGGTTACTGAAAACCCTGCCACTGATTCAAGTGCTAGAAACTTGAAGCTGGTACTTGCATTTAAAAAGCTTCTTCCCTCATGTAACCGCTGCCTTGCAGTATCCCAGTTTCTCTTGGCAGGCTTGCAGTTTGTGCTGCACACGACTGAATGGATGGGACCAGCTCCTCTTTATTTAACTCGTGAAATTGCAACGCTTCCAATAGCGTTATGGCGTGTTCAGTCAGCCTTATATATGCATTTTAAATGTGTCTGTGCCTTTCTCTCCTGCTGTGTTTTAATGCAGTTTTAAACTCGTCTTGTTCAACACTGAATCGGCTTAATTTCTCAGGGATGTTGTTTATCCTGGAGATGGGTCAATCAGCACCAAAATTTACTGTAGCTCAGCACTGTCCTATATTTTAGTAGGAGTCATTCATTTAATAATTGCTAAAACTGCAATGTGAGCAGATATTTCACTTCATCTCTTGCTGGAAACACAGGCTACTGTTTTTTTTCTGGAGGGGGAAAAAAGTCTACCAATAAAAGCAGTCTCTGTTCCTACAAATTGAAGTTACTTAAAGCAGTTAATAATTCTGAAAACTAGTTTTAAAATAAATGGAAAGAGTATCTGAGCTGGGTTTGTTTTGGTCTCTCATGTTTGACAAAGTGCTTGGCTAAATCTAAGCTGGTCCTTTATCAGCACTTTTTCACAAAGCTTTGTCTTTCACCAGCTCAGATCAGTAAACAACAGGAGTAGCCTGCTCATCTTCTCAGTGGGGCGACTCTCAACGCTGGTCAGCGCTTTTCAGTGCCTGTTTTTAAAAATTCTGTAGCTCTTGAGTTGCCAAGTCCTTAAGGAGAATCTTGTATTCCTGTCCTCCAGTCAGAAGTAGGGTGGTGATGGGGGGGGTGGGGAGAGGAAAAAGATTGGCACAGGCAGCTTGAATTCTTAATAGAAAGTTCATCTCGGCACAGCGAAGTACACCAGGAGAAAGAAATGGCCTGTTGTATTTTGTTGACTCACAGTTCCAAAATATTTTCTAGGTAGAACCTCACAATGAAGGTGGCAGTGCTTTGTTTGTGCCTTATCAGCATCACCGTTGCATGGCCAGTAAGTGAATCATAGATGTATGTCAGCATTCACTTATGTATTTCCTTTGCGCATTAGCAGGATATTAATACTGACAAACTCTTTCCTCTTTCCTCCCTTCAAGGTGAGTAAATCCAAGCAGCATGCCGTTTCTGCCAGCTCTGAAGAAAAATATGTAAGCTCCTTTTGTCTTTCTTGCCTATGTTCTAATTATGTTCTGTAATAATGCCCTTTTGATTTATGCTAATAGACACTGTGTGATACACATTTTGTGATTGTAGCTGCTTGCAGAACAGTTCCTAACCTAGATATTATGAGCCAGTTTCTCAACTAGTGGAAAAAACTGGTGGATTTTCCCTGGCTTAAGTAGACTTATGCTACATTAGGCAGCCTGGTATCTGCTCTTGTACCTTAACAAGGTCCATCTCTGGACAAGCCCTGGAGATATTTTCTCTTTTTTAATAAAAAAATGTGTAAATGTGATCTCTGCTTATTAAAAAAAGACTACAGTGTAGCATAGCTCTTAGCATCTGCAGATCCAGTCTGGTGGGGCGCTTTAGTCCAATTTCCATGTATTTTTGGAGTTATGCGAGTGCAGACATTAGAATCTTCTCTATCAAACTGCCACCTGTTCTTTCGAGTTATCACAGAAATGAGCTAATACTGGGCAAAGATCAAGAATGCTGTCACATAAAAGATATTAGTCTTGCATATAGCTCTTTGATTTAAACTCCATGGTAGGCTACTACTAAAGTAAAATTAATTATCTGTTTACTTTGAGAATCAGCTGCTGCATTTAGCTTATAGTCTTGATGATGTGGAGATAAAACATTGCTGGGAAGAGAACCTGAGAATTAGTAGAAGCCATGATGCTTAGAGCTAACTCCAAATTTCATCAAATGAAAATAAGCTGGAAAAAAGGATCTGAAATTCTGCAGGCTCTGCCACCACCAGTCTGAGAGGCAAATCTTCAGTATCGCACTGTTTGGGTATAATGATAATCTGGGATCTTGGCTAGTTCTGAATTTTCTTCCTATTGCAATGAATCGTTGAAGATGCATCTCATACAAAAAGAGCCTGTAATGCAGATGCCACACCTGCACAAAAACAGATCCTGTGACGCATGCAGCTTTACCTGCTCTTGTGTGCTCCTTTGTGGATTAAGACCTCAGTTTTTCTCTTGAAGGACTCCAGGGGCCATCATTCGCACAGACATCACCACCGCCACGTGAATTCTCACTCTCAGGAGAGTCTGCTGCATCCACGAGATGACCTGGCATCACCTCAGCAGGTACCTGTAACTAGTGGGAAGAGAAAGTAGAGCATCCTTCAATGCGGACTTGCAAATTATGATTGAGTCCTTAAAATACTGTCAACGTTTTCTATTAGCTCTATTTTATGTGCCTCTGTGTGCTAGTAATGCATTTTCTATTGCTTTCAGACTCTCCGTTCTTCAGAAGAAAAAGCTGTTGTCCCCGTAGGACTGGTAAGCGTTTTCAGCCACAGCTAAATGAGTGCTGCTCGGCAGCCAGTGTGTATTCGTTCTCCTTACTGAAACGCAGATCTTGTGCTAACATCTCCCCCTAAATAAAACAAAGCTTCAGATAGCATGAAGCAAATTTAGAGCAGGTTGTCCACTTAGATCTGCAACGGCGTGTGAGCACTGTACATCTTGTATATGCTCGCTTGCGTGATGCATGCTAAATGTTTTTCAGCGCTTTACGGACGTGACAAGCAAGAGCCATGAAGACCCAGATGACGATGTAGATGATAACGATTCCGACGACACAGATGAATCTGATGAGGTTGTCACGAATTTCCCCACCGATACGCCCGTAACCGCACCCTTCCCTCCCTACCCTTTCACCCGGGGAGACAACGCGGGCAGAGGCGACAGCGTGGCATACAGAATTAAGGCAAAAGCCTTGGTGGTGAAGCCCAGCAAGCTCCACAAAGCTGCAAGAAAGGTAAAGAGCTCTGAGCAGTGGTGCCCAGGGGGTAGCTAAGTACAAAATGGACAAGTGCTCTTGTGGGGATCAGCTGTGAAAGGGGTTGGGGTGGGGGGAAAGTTGGCAAAACTGAAGGAGTGCATTTCCGCTCTCTGCAGATCCCCCAATCGGTGAGGGCTATATACACGCACCGAGGCAGAAGCGTAGCCTGCTACTGCAAGCTACGTGATACCGCGCTTTGTGCTGTCATGATGTACTTGCACGTGAAATCTGAGGCCAATATCAAACTGGAGTTTGTGATATTGCGAAAGGTTCATGCAACTCTGTAAAAGTCCCCAGGGCTTCAGAGCAGAGGCATAAGCCAGAGGCTTTGAGTATCCCTGGGAGCTATGTGGGAGAGCTTGCTCGGGTGCGGTACCGCGATACCTGGCGATGGAGCGGTCGCTCAGACGTGACAACAGCTCTTTGCTCTTTTCCCGTTTGCGCCCCGCAGCTGATAGTACACGATGCCACCGAGGAGGACGAGAGCGCCCTGGCCGCGGACAGCCGCCAAGCGGGGCTCTCCCGGGAGGACCTGGGGGCACACCGCTCCGCCGGGAAGTACGCCGACAGCGGGGAATGGCGGGACAAGAGCCGCGGGCAGGACAGCGACGAGGTGGTCCGCAAAGTGCCCGACCGCAGCCTGGAGAACGACAGCCGGCAGAAACTCGACAGCCTTGAGGCCGAGGTGGGGGACAGCCGC